TCGATGTTCAGATCTAGTAGCATAGTAAAACATTTGCAAACAAATCTCAGATCCTACTCACAAGTTTTTTGATTCAATATTTTGTCTCTTGGAGATTCTTGAAATACTTGAGAGGAAAATATTCCAAGCTGTTCGACATCAGAATAGTTGAGACACTAATAAGGTTTCCATAAATCTTAACAGATAAAGTTAATAACAAGGCATCATCATGACAAAATGTGGATAATATCAGGCAGTACCAGGTGATAGGGGTTGGAGAGAAGATAATCGTCTTCTAGTCCTGAATCACCCTTCTTTCCACTGATTAATCATGAACAAACCTTAAAATACCAATACTGAATCTTAAAAAAAGCAAATAAATCAATAAAATGTAGTAATACCTGTTAGCAACAAGACGAAGCTGTCTAAAGGGCCAAATATATACACCTTCCACTTTTATTTGGGCACCACCCACATTGTGTTCGTTATCAAATACGTCATGGAAAACAACTGCACCCTGTAGCACACTCAAAGTTGATACAAGTTCCGGTTTTGCAAAGTTTCTTTGAGATCAAAGCATGATGCAAGAACTGTTCACCTGAACATAATGCACACCGGTTATCTTTGTTGGACTTGTCACTAACTCAATGACAGAGTTACCACTTTCTTTTCTGAAATCTGGGAACTTTGAAGAGCTATTTACGTTATCTAGAAACTTCCAGTTACCTGTAACACAACACGGACATAAGTTTCGGTAGGAATTATCCTTCAACATGATATTGAAGCAGAACCAAAAATCAACCAACGCAATGCCACAAAAAAACCTCTATATGTTCCTGTTATATTCCACGCGGAAAATGGCCCTGCTCCGCTTTTTTCCTTTTTGCCAAATAGCCACTGCAAGATCACAAAACAATCTCAGCCATAAACCCGTTCACATGACTCATTGTCCTGCCTACTCACGTAATACTATTTCCTATTCCAGTTTGCACATTCTATCGAAAACTCTACAAAGATTCTGAGCTATCAGAGATTCTACTTCTGCAACAGCTGTTCTATCTCTACAAAGAACTTCATTACTGAAAAATCACAACCCTGATGCATTCCCCAGCTCTATCATCAAATCATATCGATTTGAATTAAAGTCAACAAATTAATCAAAGACTAAGACCCATCAAGCGAATGGGTCTTAATACAACAAAATCACGGAACATTGAAATTGAAGCAATGATCAGAAAATCAAGACAAACCTCATCTCCCCATGATCGAGCGGTCTCCCTGATGGGTCTTAGTCCATTCGCTTGTTGCAAAACCGCAAACCAAATCGATAAGCCGAAGAAAACTCGAAATCCAAGGAACCCGAATCCCAAAACCCCTAAATTATCCGACTTTTTCGGCATATCGCAACCCAAGTGAATTTTACAATGCGGGCAAGATCAGAACCGATTCGTGTCTTGTTCCGAATCGACAAGACACCGAAGAAAGCAATCCATCAGGGCATAAAGAAGACAAGAAGATTGCTTCAAGTGAAGTCAAACAAAGCAAACGAAGAGATCAAATCGGAACGGATTAGCTGAAGAGAAAGTGAGAGGCTAACAAACTGAATGCAAAGACGAACGGAATTAAAAGACAAATGCTTTGTAACCAATACTACAAGATTATTATTGTCTCTACCAAACGGCAAATACGACAGATTAACAAACTACAATTGTGGGTAATTGGTATCATCATAGAACAATTGCAATTGACTTTGAAATATATGTTTATTAAAAACCAGAATGGTCGTTTGAGATTCTCTATCGATTCCTCAAAGTTGAAAACTTTAGCCTCTATTATACAAGTTGTTGGGAGGAAAGAGGAACAAAAGTGGAAAGTTGGGAAAGAGTTTTACTTTTGTAAAGTGAAACTCTTGAAGATCATCTCTGCTGGATCGTCTCTGGGTTATATGCTTCTTGCGGCTTCTTGTTTTTCTTACGTTAATCTTTCTTATTTATGAGGTTATAAACCAAAAACATTATTATTATATAAAACAATAAATAGACCACCGATACTTATGCATATGCGTGTACTGTATATCCAAATGTTAATTGTATAAATATTTCCTATGTTGACAATGATGTAATCATTGTTCATTTTTCCGGTCATATATATTATTCCTACGTTTTGTCTGATTAGTAATTCTGTATTTTTGATGCAGAAGGAGAGACCAAAATTATAATTCGATAGAGAAGGATCATTTTGATGAAGAGTGTAATAGGTTTTTAATAGATAGCATATATCAAAAGTGTATATATTATCGGAAGATAGGGTTAGGCAATGTATTCATTTTGCCGATGTTTTCCCTCATGGATTTGATTCTAATTTTCCGTAAAAGATTGAAAATTTTGTATGGCGGATTCCTTTGACAGATAATTGTTATAAGTTTTGATCTAATGTGGAAGAGAGGAAACGGTGACGAAAGCGATCTTGGAAGCCAGAACGTGGCAAGAAGCGCTCAAGCACACTGTCCACACCCATGACGACCTCAAGACCAGCCTAGACAACCACATGTGTATACTTTTTTTGGTACCCGGTGTTTTGTTGATGCAGCCTGGAATCCGACCTTTCTCTCATGTGGTACGGGTTGGACGTTCCGTTATTTGAATTTAGGTGACTCTTCTCTCTCCCGTAAGGATGTTGCTTCATCTCTTACTGCAGAATCTTTGGTGCTATTAGCAGCCATCTCGCAAGCGAAGGATTAACGAGGTCTTATAACGACCTCCATGTCTTCTCTGATTTCCAACTATTGATTAATCTTCTCGACAAAGGGACTGATCACAGTGAGCTACATGGAATCTTATTTGATACCATGCATATTGACTGCAAGCACTTTCCACTTGATTTCTTTTGATTTTGTACCTCGATTAGCCAATTTTATGGCTGGTTCGATTGTTAAAAGAGCCATCTATGCTCTTGATACTCTATTGATGGAGTTTGATTAATAATGTCACAACAATTTGATCCCAAAAAGAAGTCATTTCATCGTTTTATTTTTATGTTTTTAGATGAATGAATTCTCAATTTTTTAATATCGTATTGTTTAGAATATTCTACAAATAAAACATTTATTACTTTTATTGAATGACACAATAATTTATATGTTGAACAATATATAGAGAAATTCTTTCATAAACCACATTTTAAAGTTTTTTTTTTAAATATATTATTAATTAGATTTTTTTTTTTAAATCAAAAATTACACACCCAATTTTCTAGGTGAAAACCAGATACAATTTGTGACAAAGTTTCGCTATACTCAGATAACATTTGTTTCACATGCTAATATTTTTTTAATATTTTCAATGATACCCAAATCATTTATTATATATTATTTGAGAAGTGATTATCTCAAATTCGCTTATGTATCGTCACCAGAATAACTTTCACCAGTTTTTATGACGTGGCTTGAAAAAATATGACATGACAAATATGAATCATAATAACATCTTTTATAAAATCTTTTATAACTAAATTTATATTTCTTTCC